AATTTTATTAACAATGTGCCAGGTTGTAAGAAGGTCGGGTGCAAGTGGATCTTCAAGAAGAAGACATACATGGATGGGAAAGTAAACACTTATAAGGTGTGATCGGTTGCGAAGGGTTTTACTCAAACTCCTGGAGTTGACTATGATAAGTCCTTCTCACTGGTTGCAAAGATAAAGTCTATAAGGGTTATGCTAGCCATAGCAACATTTCATGATTATGAAATATGGTAGATGGACGTCAAAACTGCTTTCCTTAATGGGAAGTTGGCTGAGGATGTTTACATGAGTCGGCCATAGGGTTTTGTCGATGCGAAGCATCCTAGTAGACTTTGTAAGCTCGACAAATCCATTTATGGATTAAAACAAGCCTCTCGCGGATGTAATCTTTGTTTCGACGATAATGTCAAATAGTTTGGTTTCTTGCGAAGAGAGGATGAGTCTTGTGTATATGTCAAAGCCAGTGGGAGTATAGTTAGGTTCATCATAATGTATGTCGATGATATACTACTCATAGAATATGACATCCTGACCATGCAGGAGGTTAAGTCTTGGCTTGGGAAGTGTTTCGCTATGAAGGACCTCAGAGAGGCTACCTATATTCTGGAAATAAGGAAAGTGAAAAACAGGAGTAAAATACTAATACGACTTAGTCTGAATACTTACTTGGAAAAGGTACTAAAACATTTTAGTATTGATAATTCTATGAAAGGGGAGTTACCAATCCAAGGTAATACCAAGTTGACTAAGACTCAAAGTCCGAGTACCGAGGCCGAGATGGTAGAAATGAGTAGAGTACCTTATGCTTCCGCAGTTGGATCGATCATGTATGCTATGACCTGTACTCGCCTTGATGTGGCCTTCGCTTTGAGCATGGTCAGCAAATATCAAGGGAACCCTGGTAGAGCGCATTGGACCACAGTCAAGAATATTCTTAAGTACCTTTGCAGGACCAAGGAATGGTTTCTAGTCCTCGGTGGGAGTGATGAATTAAGGGTGCGAGAGTATAGTGATGCCAGTTTTTAGACCGACTGGGACAGTTACCACTCTTAGTCGGGCTGGGTCTTTACCCTGAATGGAGGGGCAGTTGCTTGGAAAAGTTCCAAATAGGAAATTGTAGCTGATTCAATGTGTGAATCGGAGTACATAGCAACGAGCGAAGCGTTGAATGAGCAAATATGGTTGAAGAACTTCACTGGAGACCTTGGAGTTGCACCAGCCATAAAGGAGCCCATGGAAATTTCTGTGATAATGAACGTGCGATTGCCTTAAACAAGGAACTGAGGGATCACGGCAGAACCATGTATATCGATAGAAAATATCACTTCATTAGACATCGGGTAGAAGAGGGACTCCTTATAGTGAAGAGGGTATCGTCAAAGAATAACCCAATAGATCCCCTCACGAAGGGACTGAGTAGGGTTAAGCACTTGCAGCATGCTAGGAGCATTGGGCTGAAGGACGATATTAGTTTAGATTAGATAGCTTTGAAACGTGTAATAGATAAATTGTAATTAACATTTGATGATTAAATAAAGGAGTATTATATATAAGTAAAGTTATTATCTTGTGTTAATTATTTACCTATTGTTTCACGTTGCATGTTTTGACTTCGTGAATAATAAGATTATCCGAACAGTCCACAGTCACTTATACTTTGGAAGTAGGTATGAAAGAAGGCCATCATGAATTGGATTGCAGATTTTCTAAAGTGTATTAGACATAGCAAAAGTTTGTTGCAACGTTCATGAAAACTTATGAAATACTATTTGAGTATTGGATTAACCCGTACTTAATTGAATCACTTCATGGAATTAATCAGAGTGATTGTGAGATGGTAATATCATATGGTCTTAAAACCTAGATATATGGTTTATTGTTTGCGAGTTGGTTATGCATTGATAATGTATAAACGCATCAGTAACTTGATGTTATAAAGCGCATTGTTGTGCATGATCTGATGAGTGAATAGTAAATGCATATAAGTCGAAGTTTATCTGTTCCTTTTATCCTATGAGGGTAACAACGATATATGGGCCCCTCGATGATTTGGTTTGACTTATGTGTCAGGCCCAATTAGGACTGAATTGATGTGTTTAATTAAGTTCTATGTTAGAAAAGTCAGAGATCAAGAAAAAAACTGATGGACAATAAGTATGACTATGTTCCATGTAATTGTACGCATGATATCTTGAACAGAGGACTATACGATCCCTTATCTAAAGGACAGGTCACTAATATGATTAGAGTTCGACAGCGGCTTATGAGAGCTACGAGTGCTAATCGGATCCTGAAGTCATACTTGCAAATTTAGTTATTAGACTTATTCAAGTGGGAGACTGTTGGATTAGTTTCTAAGTCCATAACTATATTTGGTATGTAGTTGACCCGGTTCTAGCATGGTCCTTTTGGGTTGCCTTCACCAAAGCAACTTGAATAGATGATTTTTGGAGAGAAAGGATATTATGTTTTATTGATATACTATATGAGTAATATATTAAAAGAGAAATCATATTATTTAATTAATATTAATCAAGAATTAATTAAGAAATTGATTTTGTGATCAAAATAGATTAATTAAACTAAGTGGACTGGAATTGCAATTATAAGATAATTAGATTTTGTGTTGTGGATCTCTTGGATTATAGGGTGGGCGATCTTAAGGTGGAAGTCCACTTAGAAATCGTCCAAGGCCTTGTTCTGGAGGGTTCCATTGGACTACTTAAGGACTAAGCTATCTAATTAGGGTTTTGACTGAAACCCTAGAAGCACACCTATATAAAGGACTCAGGGCTTCATATTTCAGATACCCCAAGAAACCCTAGAGTTCTAAGAGCCAAAATTAAGCCTCCATTCTCTCTCTATAAGATCATCTTCTTGCCTTGGTGTTTGTGATCCATTAGAGGTATTACAATTGTGATACTAAGCTCTTGATGTTAAAGATTCTTGCAACTATCAAAAGGTAATAATCTAAATTTGTTATAGTTATAGATTTTGATTTTATAGTATGTTGCATTAGGGTTTAGAAGCTTTGGATTAATTTGCATGTACAATAGAGAAACCTAGATCCAAAGCTTTAGATTTTGCATGTTCACATAGTAATGTTCTTTTGCTCAAAACCCTTCAGGTGCGGTTGCCTTAACCAAGGAACCAAGGGATCATGGCTGATCCAGTCACATGGAAAAGAAATATCACTTCATAAGACATTAGGTAGAAGAAGGACTCCTCGTGGTAAAGTTGGTATCATCAGATGAGAACCCACTGGATCCCCTCATGAAGGGACTAAGTAGGGTTAAGCATTTCCAGCATGCAAGGAGCATTGGGCTGAAGGATGATATTAGTTTTAATGATTAGATAGCTATTTTAAAACTTGTAACAGATAAAATGTAATTGACATTTGATGATTAAATAAAATTTGTTTTATTTATGAGTAAAATTGTTTACTATTGTTTAATTTGGCATGTTTTGACTTCTAGAATAATTATATTATTCAAATTGTCTACATTCGATCATACTTTGGAAGCAGGTATTGAGGCAAGACTATCATGAATTTGGCTTGTAGATTGTTTGAAGTGTTTTAGACATAACAAAAGATTGTTGCATCATTCATGAGTGCTCATAAGGTCTGAGTATTGGATTAAACCCATGCTCACTTGAATCACTTCATGGAATTTGTCATGAGTGATCGTGACACGATAATATCATATAAGTCTTCAAACCAAGATATACTAGTTTTTGACTATGAGTTGGTTGTACATTGATAGTGCAAAAACGCATCAGTAACTTGATGTTCTAAAACACCGTGTTGTGTATGATTTAACAAATAGTTAGCAAGCATATAATGTCGAACTTTATCTGTTCCTTTTAATTCTTGGAGGATTAAAAGTAATATCTTGGGCCCTCTGATGATTTTTTTTTACTTATGTGTCAGGCGCAATCGGGACTAAATTGATGTGTTTAATTAAGTTCTTTATAAAACAAATTGGAAATCGAGAAACAAACTGTTGGACAATAAGTATAACATTGTTCCATGTATTTGTTAGGCTGATATCTTGAAGAACAGAGGATTATAGGATCCCTTATCTAAAGGACGCGTCACTGACTGGGTCAGAGTTCGACAACGGCTTTTAAGAGCTACGATTGCTAGTCAGTTTTAAGTAGTACTTGCACTTATAGTTATTAGACTTATCCAAGTGGGAGACTTTTGGATTAGGTGTCCAAGCCCATAACTATAATTGGTATGTACTTGACACGAGAGTAGCATGGTCCTTTTGGGTTGCCTTCACCAATGCAACTTGATAGGATGGACTTTTGAGAATAAGATTATTTGTGATTTGTTAATATATTACAAGTATAATATATTAATATGAAATATTACTATTTTATTAGTATCGATCAAGAATTAATTTGGAATTAATTTAGTGATAATAAAAGACTAATTAAATATATGGGGACTGATTTGGTAAATCAATGATTCTTATAGTGTGGGCCAATGATCTATGGTTATTTAGGATGGGCTAAACCGACATGGATAGTCCGTAGAGGTTTAACTCATGGAGCCTAAGTAATATGAAGAGTCATAGTGCACTAAGGTTTGCATGGATGTAACCTTAGCACTTGTCACACTATAAAAGGATCTCCCTAGAGCTAAATCGGTTGCCACATACATTCTTGGAGAGTGTGAATCGATTTTGTGCTAAGCAACTTATTCTCTCAAGCCTCCTTTTCCACTTGGTGTTTGTGACACATTAGAGGCATCACATTTGAGGTGCTAAAGCTTTTAAAGGCAAAGAACTACAAGTCCTATTAAGAGGTAAGTTATCTAACTAGTTATGTTGTTCAATTGTCAAATTGTATGCTAGTTAGGATGTATGCTTTGGAAAATCAAATTGCATGTATAATTAGAGAAAACATAGATCCAAATCATCTAGGGCTACATGCTCACCATAAGGTTGTTAGAGTGCTCAAAACCCTTCATTTGGTTTTGGGCTACGACAGACACCATGGTAGCAGTGAGAGTAGGTGGCGGACCACTAGATGATGGCGTTGCTACAAGAGGAGATAACAGGCCACCATATGATGACACTTCTACAAGAGGAGGTGGTGGGCCACCGGATGATGGCGCTGGTGGAGTGTTAGCTGCTTCCAGTGACGTCATCGGATGTATTGGGTTGTACGGTGGTTTTGATGGCTCACCGGTCGTCTTGTATGTCATGTGTAGCTAGGTTAAAGAGAAAGAGAAAGGGTTTACGTATCTGTTGTCACACAAATGGATGACGCCAAATGATGCAACCTAATCTCTGACCGCCCGAGCTGTTAGTAAGGATCGTCGGAGGGAAACTTGAAAGGTCACAAGGAAAGGAAACCATCAGCCGCTCTTGCACCACGCCCCGCTGGAGTTCCTGGTGATCAGGGCGGCCGAATGGGGCTTGGTCGGGCCTCGTCGGGAATTCCTTGCCGGGGGCTCTCTTATTTCTCTGTCCGCTCTAAGGGACGTGTCATGAATATATATTAGCAACACTAAAGCTTATCATAATTATATATATTTTTTAGTTTTTAGGCTGTGTTCGACCATATAATTGAAATATTATATTTTAGATGAAGTAATATGTGCCATAATTCAACATTTTTAGTTTTTAGGTTGTGTTTAGAAAAATTAATTTGTACCTGAAAACTAAATTTTATTTGATAAAAACTAATAATAACTGGTAAACTAATTTATATCGAAGTTGACAATCGTTAAATGACATAAAAAATTTATTGGGATATATAATTAACCAATAATATTGTATCAAACATTACTAATATTAACCTAACATCTCATTGTATTAAACTAATGAGTTGACAGGTTGGATCATGAAACATTCATTGTTAGAGCCGATCATCAACATCGCCCAACATCACTCCTTAATCACGGCATCGACCTACTCAACCATGAATTATCGAGCTTGATATTCATATATACTTCTGTTGACGTATCCCACTGAGAATCCATCAAAGATAACGAAACTGCTAGTTCGATAGACGGATTGGCCAAGGAGTAACATGTGACTAATGTCGGGCCTATGCCCTCAACTTCGAGACCACGTATCTGTTCCTTGGTGCCCTTACGCCAAAGATAATGTTGAAGACAAAATAGTACCAAGAGTTCCTCATAGCGACAGATGTAGTGCTCTGGACATTGCTTCAAGCAGAATCTGCAACAATAGTGAACAACCACCCATGGAACACGATCCTCCAATAAAAATCCATCAGCCCCTACCAAACCTAAAAAGGTAGAAGATAATCTTGGGGATCTATTCCCCCTTACCACATGTATAAAAGGCTCCCTTCTTCCCCAAGAGAAGAGGCCAAGAAAAAACCATTTAACACTCTCTTTACACTTTCAACCCATTCTCTCTCAGACTCTCACTGAATTGATCGTCGGAGCCTCGTTCTAGGACAATCTCCTGGAAGATGACAGGCGGTCTTATCTTCTTTGTTGTGATCCACAGGCTTTTCATTTCCATCCTCGGAAAGACGGAGTTAAGCTAGTGACATATCAAAACAATTGGCACCATCTGAGCTTGCACTCAGTACTGCAAAACCCACTCAACAACACCAGGCGCCGGAAATGACAGACAAAGGACTGTTGTGGCAAGAAGGTGACACCACTAGCCTGATTCGACCAATGCAGTCCCTCGATGGAAGCGATCCATCGACACTGGAAGGTCAACCGCTAGCACAAAGACCGACAACGCCACCGGTCAGTTCCGTTGCAGAGTTCATCGCTAGTTTATGGCGACCGACACCCGTCGCAACGGCACACTCGGCCACGACGACCATCATAGTTCCCCAAAGGGGATCGACCACACAATCACAGTCAGCAGTTTGCCAGCAGCGATCAACGCGCCAGGCAGGGACTAGCACCTAGTGCCCAAGCACTATCCCATTCACTATGCAACCAATGCCTGCGGGTCACCTTTCTTCCCTGATGTTCGCCATGTCACATGTCTTGCTATTCGCACAACAACCAATGTTTAATCCACACTCCTACTACTAAAATGCATGTACCCTCCAACACACCCTGTAAAACAATTGTCAAGGCACACTGGTGCAGGGAATGAACTCGCACACCATGGGACCAATGGAATCGAGCTCACAGTCAAATCAATTGGCGCATGAATACCCCACACATGTAGTGTATGTGCCGCAAACGTCGGTGTTCAACCACAGGTAGCCTTACGAATTCAGTCAAGGGTATGCCATCCCCTATCACATGCAGCACGCAATGCTTAGTGGAACACCTTCATATCCACACATGCATGGCTCAGTATCAAGCATTAGCTCGACATTTTCCCAGGAGCTCCTACAGTACGAAATCCAACATTCTGCCATGATCCCAAATATCTCAAAATATAACGGCACAATAGACACTGACGAACACATAGAAACTTATGAATGGACAAGGACATCGCTTTGGATGGACAAGAGGTTCACTTGCACCTACTTCTCGGTCACACTGTCAGGAAATGCCAACAAGTGGTTCAAGGCGTTAAGAACGGGAAGCATCTCCAGCTTTGAACAATTGAGACATCTATTCCATCACAAGTCCATGCAGCTCAGAAAAGTGAAAGGAGATGCCAACTCGATCATGACATGTAAGAAAAAGGAGTGAGAGTCCATCCAAGCATATTATAACCGATTCACCTTAGCGACATTAAGCGTCCAAGACATGAAGAATTCTTTGTTACATGCGCCTTCTCCTAGGGGATACTCCCAGGCCCCGTGTCAAGAAAAATTCAAGGCACGGTACCAAAATCTAGAGACGAGCTTAAATACAGGGTCGAGAAATACCTGCGACAGATCGAAGGAGACGAACGCAAATAAGAAAATTTAAAGGCGGTAGCGAACGCCTACCTCAAAAAGAATCATATGAATCCTACTCCTGCCACAACCATAAAGAGCGTAACAATGGAAATCACGACAACATAGCAGATATTCGAGACATTCCTCCCGCAGATTTTTCCCATTCATCAAAGATGACCCGAGGAGCCACAGGTCGGAAGTACATGTCGTAGAAAAAAAAACCCACAGTGGACGGAAAAGGAAAAATGAAAATACTGAGAATACCACAAGAGCAAAACACACAACACCGGATAATGCACGATATAAAAGAGAAGTAGCGGACAAGCAATTGTACGAAGACCTAACAGAAATAGCAAGGACTCTACAGTCAAAGTTCGAAGTTGACCAAAAGGTGGAAGAACCCGCAAGGAAGCAAACAAACAACCAATAAAAAAGAGGAGATTTTCACAATAGCAAGGCCCAAGCATCAAGACAAGTGCCAACATCCGGTCAAAGGCGATGCGATCCCACTCAGAGTCACTCTAAACATTAGTTTCTCGCCATCAAGCTCGTGAGTGCCTGACTAGGACCAACATATCCAATCATAATCCCCTCCACAGTCATACAACAGAAGACCTGGTGAGCCTTGGTCGAAGGAGGTAGCAGCACCAATATCCTTTACCAACACTGTTTCAAGCAACTCCCACCATGATGGAGAAGGAACCTGAATCCCCCAGCCCATACATCACTTGTTGACTTCACGGGACACAAGATGTGGCTACTGGGCACCATAAACCTACCATTGAATATAATCAACATCGACGGGAAGGAACAAGTAATCAGGATAATCGAGTTCTCGCTAGTCAAGCAAAGATCCGATAATGATATAATGCTTAGGCGCTCGACTCTTTTTCAATTACAGACTATCCAATAAACAATACATGGCACAGTCAAGTTCAGAACAACCAAAGGTTCAGCAATGGTCATATCCATTAACACACGAGCAAGGCTAACCCGGGAAATCACTGCATGGGCCACCACATGCATCCTAAAAAGAAGACAGACCATGATACTCACATCCAAAATGGTCAAATATAAGAAGAAAGATATTTACACTCCCGATAAGAAGAACAAGCACAAGCCCCGGACATGTAGCCAGGGGGGAAGGCACGGTAGCAACAACATTACCATAGAAGATACATCACATATTGTTAGCATGAACACCAAGAAAGGCTGGGTATCACTAAGCATACTCGTGCACCTTTGAGAAATAAAGACACAAAGTACGAAGAAGAAGCTTGACAAAAAACAAAACCAAGGGATCACAAAAGCCGGGGAGGGAAAGACGGGGAACTGCCCTGCAAAAGAAGATACAAACAGGAGGCTACCAGCAACGGCTAAAGTCCACAGTTGGCAGAAGCTTTCCCCAGGACGACACTTGGTCCAAAACCCTATGAAAAACAGAATCAATAACAACAACGCAACACCATATAACACGAAGCCTCCTAAAGATACTAACCAAACAATCGACACCAGAGAATGGGAGAGACTGAAAATCGTATTCCAAAGGATGATTGTCCCAGAAGCATCCATTCATGCAAATACAAACATCAGAGAACCTGTAGTCACATGAAAGGCACAGAGTAAGAAAGACCAAGAAGAAGAAGAAGAACTCACCTCGATGACCTAAGAGCCCTAGGGCCCAAGCCAATGGTCCTAGCTTGGAAGGAATCAGGAGAAAGGGCTATGTGATCAAACTCCTTCCGGATAATCACACCCCAACTAGCTAGTACAAGACCTAGATGTAGAATGGCATCAACTATCGAACCCCCGATAACTACCTATACGATGTAGATGTCTCTAAGACATCAAACAAAATATGTATGCAATGAAAATTTGGAATGACCAAGTATCAATATACTTTCGTACAAACGGCGAACAAAAACGGACTGATCATCCGTGCTGCATATTAATAAAATCACTGAGGAAAACACAATTGTAAGCCCGAAGGTCTCATAATTTCCCCCTAACAAACATGTTAACAAGGTCAGTAGATCCGCAACTACTGATCATGACAAACAAGAGGCTTTAAAGGATCATAACCTTTCACTAGAAAAACATAAACTCCGAGACTTCAAGGTGACGATCTTGGTCTGGTTTGGATGACAGGGGCTAGAGTGCAACTCCCCTTGGCCCTAGGAATAGGAAAAGGCCCCAAAACAAAGTCCTTTAGGTAAAAAAGGACGTTCCAACGAAGCATGACAACTAGGGTCCACACCTAAAAGCCAATCAAAGCCTCACACTATAAGGTCGGGCCAAAGGATAAACGACAGGCTCCAATGCTTTGGGTCACCAAAAATCATTAAAACAAATAACAACCACCCTCAAAAGGGTGACACTAATCTTTGGGAAGAATTCAAGACAAAGATGGCTAACATAAACTATCAAACACAAGGATAACACAAAACAATAGTGTAACAGACCAAAAGAAGGGGAATTTAACATATACAGAATAATTTGTCTACCTACCCACCCCCCTGGGATTTGCACAAAGAGAAGGCCAAAGAAAAGTAGTGAAACATTGTTTAAGTACCAAAAAAATATAAACGTTGTCCTGAAAATAAATGCCATCACTTACTAGGGGAAGCACCAACATTAGAAGAGCCACCTTCGACTTGACTATCCTCAACGTCAGAGTTATCACACAACTGGTGAAGGCATGTCATGTTCAGCTCACCCAAGTGAGGGTAGGAGGCAAAGTCTATCTCCATGAAAACTTTTAACGTAGCGTGCATCGCCTGAGTATGCTCCATGGTAGAAACAGCCTCCCCAAGGACAAACTTCCCAGTAACAACCTGTACCCGGACCTCATGCTTTCCATTCTCCATACCAGCGGCCATGCACACCATCTTCTTCGGCTTCACCCCTATCGCAAACTTAGAACTTTCAACCACCTTGTCCACTATACAGATAACTCCTTTATGAAGTAGCCACCCAGGATCATCCTCCATGCTCTTCGTCCTCCCCACCTCTTCCTCCAACCGTCTGCTAGCGAGATCCACCTGGTCATCAAACACTATATTCTCTTCCACCAACACCTCGATACACTAGGGGAAACGCTCCATTGATCCTTCCAATGCAACGACCTTGTCCTCTAGAGATGCCTTTTCCCCTCATAGGATTTCATAACACTCCTCGAATAGACACTTGTCCTCTTCTAACGCAAGTAGCTTGGCTCTCAAATCATCTCGCTAGGCCCTAATCTGAACGAGCTCGCCAGAATTTGAATCGCCCCGACGAAGGAAAGATGCAGTCGCAACCATGTATGAACCAACCTGGACAGTCGCATATAAGAGACTGTTGGAAAGATGAGCATTTGAGAAAAGCTCCAAGGCCTTGATGGTGGTGGGGGAAAGCTTGACGACCCCAATCGTATGCCACTGTGTCCTGGGAAAAGGAGAGACTCCCGAGTGTCCCCCAACCGAGCACGTACACGACTGGCATTGCCGGAGGAACAGGAACAGAGACCTCAGCAGAGTTCCCCCCCAGCCAAAAGTAGAATTGGTGAGCTGGGAGTACCTTTATGACCGACTTTTTGGTCCACACCAAAAGCGCTTTCGGCAACAATATCCAGCGGTTCTTCCTTGGGTTTACAGGGTAGTATTGTTGCCCCTTCTTTCATCCCCTCCGACTTTTCGAAGTGTCATCATCGGGGATATCCATAACTACCGTGTCTTCCTCTAAAAGGAAGTCCACATTCCGCCTCTTCAGAAGGCGCTGTCCCGAGGAGCCGGCCTCGGTAGGCTTCACCTGTAGTGAATCTAGCCAGGAAAGTCACCGCTTACAGGTCACACGGGTCCTACACAGGACTAGCCTAACTGATGGCTACTCCCCCTCAGTATCAGAAGGTAAGGGGTCCTCATGGGAAATACCACTGAAAGGTGCATTGATCAGCACCTGGCCAGTGTGAGAGCTTGACCCACGAGAAGAGGCAATAGGAGGACCAGCAAGAGCGAAAGCATGGTCAAGACTGACCGGTGGAGGAAGCGTCTCGACCAAGGGCACCTCAGGGTACTGAAGGGTGCCATGAAAATGTCCCCACAATACCATCTCTAAGGGAAGAATCCTCTCATGATCTGTAAGCAAGGAGAAGTCCAAACACAGTTCACACAACACATAAGCGAGAGTGTATCAAGGGGGGGGGGGGGAAGGGAAAGTGATTACCATCTTTCTCCACGTAGAACTGGGGCATCATCCCTAGGTTCCTCTAGGCAGTACTCATCCTAACTGCAGCAAGTATGTGGTTCTCCCAATCCTCGACGTTAATTTAGATGGTCTTCAACGCTTGTTCCATGGTGACACTGGCACCCCAAAGTTCAGGAGCCCGATCAGAGAAAGTGGTCAAGCGAGGATAACCGAAACCGAGAAAATTATGGTTCACCCAAAGCCACCGATCCTACCAATTCTTCTTCAGAGCTTTCTTATTGATGATGAAAGCGTGACATCCCTCCTTTGGGAAAAAGTCCAGGCACCGGACTGAGTGGAGGAATTAAAGAAAGTGTGGAACGCCCAAAATTGTGGCAAAACTCCGAGGGCCCGACAAGGAAGTTCGATGTCGACGATCTTGTTGATGGTGTTCATAGTCAGGTCGTCCACACGGAGTCCACATTGACACATAATCTCGTCAAATAAATTCGTCATCGGCAGCCTCAGCCCCACCTCGAAGATCGAAATGGAATTCTGATCTTCCCCTCCGATGGATGGGAAATGATGGTCCCCTTTAAAGGGTATTCTATGCCATGCTCGAGAAGATACCCAAACCACTCTCGTGGACTCAAAAACTCACTCAGGAAAGGAACAATTCTGGTGTTAGAAGAAGTTGTTGCTCGATAGGAAAGAAAAAGCAAAAGGAAATGAAAGGAGGAAGTGGTAGACGTGACGAAAACCAGGAAAACGGGAACCGACTAAAATAAGGAAGTTTTAAATGCGAGCTAGAAGCCCAAGCAGTTATGATGATGGAATCTGTCTGCACAGACACCTCCGTCACATCAACTTCAACCAAAAAACCGTCCCCACCGAATGCGTGTCCATATCTAAGCTAGAAGTACTTAGCTACCCTAAGCAAACGCTGACATCAGAACGATTCTGGTGTTATAAGAAGTCGTTGCTCGATAGGAAAGAAAAAGCACAAGGAAATGAAAGGAGGAAGTGGTAGACATGACGAAAACCAGGAAAACGGGAACCGACTAAAATAAGGAAGTTTTAAATGCGAGCTAGAAGCCCAAGCAGTTATGATGATGGAATCTGTCTGCACAGACACCTCCATCACATCAACTGCA